CATCGCTGAGCGTTAGCTGCAGACTAGCCCCCGTTAGCCCCCGTTAGCCCCCGCTGAAGGATGCGGAGCGATGCCCCCGTGTGTGCTGCTGACTGCTGGCGGTGACGTCACAGCAGGGGGAAAGTCCCGCAAAGTCCAGCAGCGGGCGGTGACGTCACAGCTCTAAACGGTCTGCGGGCAACACTAAGCACATGTGTGTGTGTGTGTGTGTGCGCGTGTCATGCGTGTATTTATGTCTGTGGGCTACACGTGGCGTCAGTGTCGCAGGGAACACAGTAATATTGCATCACCAGTATCCTCGTGTCCTTGATCGATCCTCATCACGATCGTCCCTGTGGTCGATAATGCTGCAGGGGCGTAAGCAAAGGACTCTGCTGCCCCACGCCCAGTCCAGGGGGGACGCCGAGAGAAGGTCTGTATAATAAGGCGGCTGAGAGAACTCAATGCACCATAATTAAGAAAACAACATGTAAATAGAAAAAAAAAACATGTGAAAATTTAGAAAACAACATTGTCAATTTGCAAATACAGAAACACGACAAATTGCGACACAAACATGTTTCCAGGCGGCTCATAAAAGTGATGAACCTTCGCTGTAGTTCAATACTTTGTGAAGTTCCATCACCTCCTTCACAGAGGCTACAATGAAAATACACTGAATGTAGTAATATTAATCCAAATATTGTATATTTGTTTATTTTTGGGTGGTAGGCCAAAACTATGCCACTCTTAAAATGTTACTCTGGAACATGAACTTATATAAATTTGATTTTTTGATTTTTTTTTAGAAACGTTTTTGCCTTGCAGATACCCACCCTTGCAAGCAGGGGTTGCTGCAGTCCCCTCATCCACCACAGGCCAAGTACACACATCAGCAATGTTTTTCTTTTCCAAACAAAATTTGGACTAAAACTAAGAGATAAAGTTCATTCTTGACCATTCATTCTTAGAAAGGCTGTGACAGATTATGCTGTCATAGTGTATAAAATAATAATTATGAGCAGCTGGGGAAAAAAACTGCACCTCAGCCTCTGATTTGTAATTTTGAAGTAAATAGAAAAGCTACATCAAAACTTTTTTTATTCCCCAGTGTGGGATTAATAGTCGATCTTATCTTATCTTATCTTAAAACAAATAGTTGTATCAAAAACTCATATCATATCAATATCATTATATAAGTGTAATAGCATTAAAATAGAAAATACTGCAGAATGAACAGAACATTTGATAAACTTTAAAAAAGTCTTGGGTAATTTAATGGGTGGGTTAGGGCGGGGGGGGGGGCTTCTGGCGCTCTGAAATCGTAGCTCCGGCCCTGTGTGGACCCACCGCAAACAAACTGTTTCCGTGTGACAAGCCCAGACTCCGCTTTCCGGGGCGGCCATGACAGCGAAAACAAACGTACACGGACACGGCGATGGGAGTGGTCAGACGATCGGATTGGACAACAGGATGTGAGTTGCGCTGTTTTTCGGGGTGAGGTGGCGCGTTTTGGGGGGACACATAACTTTTCTCTACGTGTTTGTTTGCGCATTTTTTTTCTCCCCCCCCCCCCTTCCACGCTGCGGATGGACGGAAACTAGTGGAGCCCGTGGAGCCGCCTGCGGGGGCTCGGCCGTGCAGTGTTGAAATCAGCGGAAACGCCTGTGCGGTGCGGTGCGGGGCAGAGTTTCCGCACCACCCACGTCTCATGTGCGGTTCACTCGCGGAAAAGTTGTGGACATGTTTTCCCGGAGGTGCACGGTTTTACGCACACGCCGTGCAACGTCGTAGCCGTTTACGCGGCTCTCCTGCGTGCGCGGACTTCGCAACAACTCTTTCCTCCTATTCTTGATTCTAAACCCGCCTGTTCGCCATATTTGTGCGCAGAGAAACTCGAGGGAAAGTTGTCAGAGTTATGACACTCGCTGCGCACGATCCCTCCGCGGGGCTGCACGCAGTCGACTTTGATCGGAACCAAAGCTGCTCCATGGAGCTGGGGCTCCGTGCACCATTGATGAGGTACGAACACTGTGTTCATGTCGAGCTCCTTGTTTATTCTTGTTTTAAAACTTCAGTGGCCATAGCTCGGGTGATTGCACGAGCCCCTTCGTTTCCTGTATTTCTTGTTATGCCAAATGGCAGCTGAACCGTAAGCGCCTCCTTGTTGCCTTTGACTGCTTCATAACTTCAGTTTATAACACTCCCTTTGCATGCACATGGATCTAAATGTGTTTATATATATTCTTTATTCTCTTTCTTCTGCTTCTGCTCACTTTCACAGATCCACCCTTCACTTTTCTATCTGGGCTATTTGCTTGTGTAGGCCTCGGTTTCCTCTTTGCTGAAAGTAGACTGCAAACTTTGTGCTTGTCTAACCCCTCCTTTCTCTCAGAAGGTCTGGCAGCCTGGAGAGGATGAGAAGATTGGACAACAAACCTCAGATCTGATTCTGCAAGAAGGAGGGTTGCATGTTCCCCACCCTGCACTTTCCTCTGGGATTTATATTTCCTCCCAAATACCTCTGTTTACTCAACTAAACAAAGAATTTCTCGACTGCAGGCCGAGAAAAAACACACTACAGAGGCGAAAACTTCAGATTTGCACACCCAATTAAAGACGGAGAGCTGTTACATTGTCGTTCCTTACAACATTAGTATGAGTCTCCCGCCTCAAGTCAACACTGACAAGAGTGGCAAGCATCGGGCTGCAGCCATGAAGGAGTCTGTGCAGCATTCAGGGGAGGTTTACTATGGTATGGCACCTCCTACTCTAGAGTCAAGCCACAGTGACTCTGCGAGCAGCTCGGGTGTTTTTAACCCAGAGAAAGGGCCCCCAAGTTTACCACACTATCAACAGGCTGCTCCAGTAAAGTGGATACACCAGGACTCCATTCAGGCCCCCGGCTGGTCTCAGGAAGCCCCCGTGCCAAGCTGGGGGCAGAACTTTGGTCCCTACATGGGTGGGGTGAACGTCAGAAGTCAGATGGCGTTCCACAAAGGAGTCCACGAAGGTGTAGCTCTGCCAATGGGGGGAGAGAATCAACTGCCCGGACCCACCGAGGTTTATAGAGATGCCAACCAGGCACAAGCTCAGGGGAGGGGGCTCGAGTGGGAGCAGCATGCCGTGGCTGCTATGCAACAGGCACAGCTGCAAGCGTATCAACAGGGCCACAAAGGTGTGGAGATCCAGGGTCAGCCCCACGTGCCATCTCACACTTTGCAGGGGTCCATGCTGCAGCCCTTCCAGTCGACATTTCGACCCAGCAAGCAGCAGTTCTCATCTGGCTATTACTCTGTTTTTCCAGGGAACAAGGCAATGCCGAGCCTGGCCTATGGAGAGCAACAGAAAAGTCAACAACAACTGCTTCACCAGATGCAGCAGCAAAAAATGCATCATCATCACCAGCAGCATCAACAGCAGCAGCAGCAGCAACAACAACAACAGCAGCAGCAGCAACAGTTGCAGCAACAGCATCACCTTCAGATGCAGCAGCAGCAACATCTGCAGCAACAGCAACACCAAATCCAACAGCATCAAATGCAACAGCAACAACTGCAGCAGATGCAGCAATATCAGCAGCACCAGCAGCTTCAGGGGCGACAGCAACAAATGCAGCAAATGCAACAGCAGCGGCAGCTGCAGCAGCATAATGTGCCACAGCCAGATGCAACAACACAACTGCAGGTGCAACCAAAACAGCCACAGACCCAAAACTTTGCAGCTTATCAGTCTCCTGATCTGTGTCCACCCGATGCTGCATCTAAAAAGGAGGACGTCCGCTCTGTGGAGCCACAGACTCCAACCTCTGACACATCTGCGGTACCTGAACCGTGTCCCGAAAAGGATGCCGCAAATCCTGCAGAGACCTCAGACACACAGCCGGCGGCCCCACGGCGCTCGCGCCGCCTTTCAAGAGAAGGACAGTCCCCACCAGGTCCCCTTTCGACGAACATCTGGTCTCAAGGTCCCAAAGAGCCTTCAGCGTCCCAGAACGGAGTGGCAGGCGGACAGAAAGGAGGAGAGAGCCAGGTGCCCACAGGAGGCGTCATCCAGATCACCCGCAGGAGGAGGAGGGCGTCTAAGGAGATCAACCTGGAGACTCTTGCACAGACGGCATCAGAAAGGCAAAAGATCGTCAAGGTTAAACAATCACTCACTTCGCTTGCACTGTATTTCCTTTTTTATTTATGGTAATTTAAGCAATGATGTGATGGATTCAGCATCATTTATGTTGAGGAAGAATGTGGCGAGGGTGGCTAATCTGTGCAAATCGTCTCATATGGCAAAGTTGGCAAGCAGCTGCACAAAGAGGAAGAAACCTGTTTCTATGCAGAACTTCCCCCGTGGTTTACAAAATCCTCTTATTAGGTCTGTTTACTCAATTCCTGCAGCTGCGGAGCTTCAGCCGTAGCAGGCGGCCTTCCAGTGTACACAGTCATTCTTCTACAGTACATTGTCGTGCAACAAATACTGGTGCATCCTGAAAAACAGCTATTATTGAAGATCCTACTTTCTGGATTTTAAAGATTGTTCTCATTTTATCGCTGTGAGACAGACGATACCTTTAACCTTATTACTCAGGATTTAGATGTTTACATTTTTTGTGGCACACCCACTGGAATCGTCTTCTTTATTATCTCTTCTGCAGCTCAGTTAAACGAGCAGTAAACAAAAAAACTAGCTACATTTTCTTTTTTTCTCAGCGATATGTCCTTGGGGATAACCAGGCTCGTTGTAGGTTTGAGTGTAGAGTGTGAACGCTCGATGTACAATCAGAGGAGCTGCATGTCTGCACACCTCTACATTCCTCAGGCTGTTTCCCAGTCATTCGGCAGAGCCAGGGAGGGGCCCGAGCTGTCAACCTGCACAACTGCTCCTAAACTCACCAACACACCCCGAACAGGTTTAATATTGCTGCTCACAAACCCTGCACTGTTGTATTGCTGTTGGCAAACAGCACATTTCTGGTGAAGCAGATGAGATTCACATGGCCTCGCTCTGGTTGCTCCGGTGACTTTGCCTGGAGAGTAAATCCTAAAACTGATTTATATCTCTCTTTGCCAATAATAGTTATTAGGATCTCTGAAAAGTTTATCGGCTCAACTAGAAATACCAGAGCACATGTCCATTTCAGAAAAGAAGGTAATAAAACAACATTTCTTCATTTATGTTAAAAAAGGTGTTACTTTTGACAGAGTGCTGCAGAATTCTGGCTTTTTGAACTGTGTGAGTGAAAATCAATATTTTGCACAGTGAGTGAAGTTTGCTTTATGATCTCACTCATACAGTTTAGAGCTGAAACAATTGATTAGTTAATTGAGGAAGTTAATAAGCAACAACTTTGACGAGGACTAAAATGAACATTGTAGGCGATGAACCCTTGAGTTTAGGTGATATCTCATCTCAACCACTTTTCTTTTTCCTCTCAAATATCCTGTAATGCTCTCTCTCTCTCTCATATCTCCTCATCTACCTGCCTCTTTCTTTCCTTCCTTATTCCTGCCTCTACAGGAAGATGGCTCCTCAGGCAGACAGACCACCATGGTGCCCCTGGTCATCCCTGTGTCTGTCCCGGTGCACAGGAGCCAGATGGATCCTCAGGGA